AGAGAGAGAGAGAGAGAGAGAGAGAGAGAGAGAGAGAGAGAGAGAGAGATTGCAACTCCAAATTCTGTAGCTCTGCGTTTCTTCCTTCCATGTTGTTAAGGCTAGAAAGGCAACAGTCACCATGTTTCTAAGCATAGTGAATGTTTATAATATCCTTTATACTATATTCTGAGGATAAAGTTGCTTTGCTTTCAGAAAGCTAGAAGAGGGAGACCCACCTGTCAAGAATCAATAAATCTTGTTTCTTCTGTTTTTGGAAAATGGCAACCTCCCCAAAGGCTAAATATAGTATGTTCCTTCCTGTTTGTGAGAGCTCCTCTGCTCAACTCATCCTCCCTGGTAGGAATTATTTAGTGGCAGGGTGGAACTGGCTCAGAGTGGCTTGAGAGATGACTGTGAACATCTCTTCCTACTTTTTAAGAGTGTTGGTAGTTTCAAATTGCCCATGGTGGGAGTATTTAGATCACACAAATGGACAAGTAATACAGATCAAGGCATTTCTCCCAGACAGCAAGTTGTTACACATTTTCCAGAACAATACTATGAAATTGTGAGTACAGCAATTATAATTTTACATAACTCCTTCACAATTTCACAGATTTTAGAAGTCATTTGTGTGGGGGTAGATTAAGAGAGAAGGCCAAAGAACAAAACAGGTGGTTTTCGAGCCAGTCTCCTCTGTACTTCCAAGAACCTTCACATGGAATCCTCACAGTAGTTCTGTGAAGTAAAATATCATTTTCAATATTTTAAGTTATTATCATAGAAGTTAATTAATTTTTTTTCTGAAAAACTTAAAGAAGAGAACTTGGGGAAAGGACATAGATAATGTTGTATTTCCATTCTTATTTTTTCTCTCTCTAGGTAGAATTGCTAACCATGACCTTATGTAGGCATACCCTAGTAGATGAGAAATTGCCCAACTCATCCAAACAAGAAGTTACTTAAGTAGAAATTATCAAGCAAACACTCCTATAGTCTTTCATTTCCCCCATCCCATGATGGCTTCTGTTTCTAATCAGGAATATTTTAAAGTTCACTATTGAGTTATAAATGTGGGGTTGTTTCTAATGAACACAGATAGAATTGATTCTAGTCTTTAGAAACAATGTTGAGTCCCTGTTGCCAGCACACATTTATCGAACACTTAATACATGCAGGGTCCTATGCTAAGCTCTCTACCTGTTAATTACAATTCACATCAACTCCAAGAAGGGCTAGTATTTAAATTACAGGATGTTTAAGGATGATTCTATTCAGTAGTCTCAATTCAAGGAAAGTAACCAACTGTGTTGGTATTCTGCACCCCTCATTGTACTCAGATGTCTCTTGAGTGATATTGTGTCCTTGCACTATGCTAGTTGCTAAGATGGATGTTAAAAAGGGCCTGCCTACAGCCTGGATATGAGAGAGGGAGCTAAGACTTAGGGACTGTATCTTATTCCTTTTTCTTTGATACTTAGAACATGGTAAATGCTTACCCTTAAGGAATATTTTTGATTAGATGAATGAATGAATAAATGAATGGACAGAGAGTATTCAGATGCAAAACTTTGTGATGGTAATATTCAAGTTTTAGGTATCCAGAGAAAAATGAGAGACAAGAATTGTTGATTGATGGGAAACTGGATATATGGCAGCCCTTAAAGTTTAGGAGCCTCTCTAACAGGTAGACCCAGAAATAATTAGTAGACAGGTAAGGCATAACACTTCAGAGGCAGAGGGACCCCTAGGTAGCATTTCCCAGAGTGTATTTTGCCAGACATTTTTCTTTTTTTTTTATTACTTAAATTCTTTTATTGGTACATTGTAGGTATACAACACATTTACATTTCTCATTGGGAACTTGTAACTTTACATGATGCATCTTGGTTCTTATTTTTTCCCC